ATTTTTTTTTTTTTAACAAGTCACATGTTTTGTTCAATAGAAAACAATAACTTAAAAAACATTTGATTCAAGTAATTAAACATTCCCCTATAGTAAACTAGATAAAAAGTTACTATAAAACAAAGTAGAATTTGTCATTGTTAAAACTATTTAAACAGGACCATTGAGCGGAATAATAAAGATAAGTTCCCTTTAAAAAAAAAAAAGACAAATTATTTGTAATTCTTTTTTTAATCACTTCAACTATAATGCATATACCCCCACTTCTGTAAAAAACTTTCTCGATTAATAATCATTAAGTCCACATAAATGCTGAGGTTTATCATGAAAATGTTTGTAATTCACCTAAAGTTTCATTAAGAAATGAAGTGATTTCAGTCGCCTTAAAGTACGTACCCGCGTTTTCAGCAAAAAATGACAATTAAATGTATATATAATAATTAATATATATAATATTAATATATATATATATATATATATATATATATATATATATATATATATATATATATATATAACTTGGACAGAAAAGTAGAAAATACAAGTTTTTTATTATTTTAAGTAACTCGTGTTTTTTGTTGAATAGAAAGCGATAACTAATAAAATACCTAATGCCTGTAATTATTAATTGCTTTACAGTAAACTAGAAAAAAATTATTTTTAAAGTACACAGAGTTTATCATTGTTAAAACCACTTAAAGAGGACTTTTCAGTTGCTAAACTAACCTAAGCAAAGTTAAATAAGCTCCTAAGGTCTGTTTAAAAAAAAAACAACATAAATTATTCGCGATTTTTTTTCATCTCTCTCCAACTATACTACAGATAACCCATTTTTAGAAAAACTTCCCCCTTTAATAGAATTCGTTCCAGTAAATCGTATAAATTCAAACTAAAAGCTCTTGCAAAGCAACAAAGAGATAATTTACACCTTTTTTTTTTTTTAGCCATATAAACTTTCAATGAAAATGTATAACATCCTTAACGCGGGTCGTAGTGGCTTGGTAGGCACTCCTGGACTAAGTACCGGGCTTATAAGGATTAAAATTTGTGCCGTTAAAGCACAGAATTACCTGCGTCCCCCCCCCCATACTCCCCTAATTGCCTTCGGCCCAGGTATAAATCTCGTTAAAAATTGTAATCATATATGTTGTGTTAGAGAGAACGTGAGTGTGAGAGGAGGGCACACTATTTTAAATATATATTAAATATTCATAGCTGTTAAATAATCCTTTGAAGTATTAAAAGCGAAAACAAGTGGTTAAAAAAAAGTATAACTTAAAACTCCATGAAAAAAAGACGATAGAGAGTAAAATAAAACAATAAAAAAATCAAAAGCATTTTTAAGGTATTATTTGAAATAAAATCCATCAAAATTTTCTTTTTTTACACTTTTATTCAAATGAATTTATTTTATTGTAATATTATGGTAAACAAAATGTTAATTTTTTTTGTTAATTTTTAACCCCATACTCTATATTCGAAATCATACACCATTTTTTCCTCATCAAACCAAATCCTTATCAATATTATTTTAGATCAAAACCGAACCTCGAAGTTAACTTTTTTCCAAAGAAGGTCCTATTTAAGTTTTCACGTTTTTAATTATATATTGAAAACATCAGAGATTTTCGGATATGTGCTAAAAATAATGAATTTCTTTATCTATTATTTAAAAAATATTGGTTATGAAATTACAATTGGGATAGAAAATATAATTTTCCTGAAAATTTGTTAATAAGGATTCACTTTGGAAACAAACGAATCAATTATAACACAAGAATTTACTAATTCAGTTTTTATAAATAATTTAAATAAGAAGAAGATAATTTAATAGAGACTGAACATTTCAGGTAAAGTATTCAAACAAAAAAAAAAAAAAAATTATAGAATTCACTGAAATATATATTATACAAAACTAATCGAAACATTTTTTAAGTTAGCCATGGATACAATTATAAATCACTGAAGCGTATTTCGAAGAATTATAACGCTTGGACGAGCTAAAATGTATTTTCCACTGAATGGAACAGAGAAAAATCTGAGAATCTATTTAAAACTTAAATATTTAAATTAAACAAGAACATAAGAGTTAAAAAAAAAAACAGAATACAACTACACTTATACTTAAAAGGGTGATATAAACTATATTACAAATTCTGACACTAAATAGATACAAAATTATTTTTTTTATTTCAAATTCAATCGCTCGGAATCTCACGAACAAAAACTTTTTGAAGTTTAAAATTAATAATTTTTACTCGATGACTTGTATAATAAGGTATAAATGAAGATGGAAAGAGGCAAATCGGGAAATGGAATATGGATAGAAATAGCATTACATAAATTACAAGAATATAGTGTATTTGAGCCTCCCAAAAACAATCAGGGTACAGTCCGCGTAATTCGGTTTCGTTTAACTGTCTTAATTCTCCGGTTGACCCATATTTCTTTCGTCAGAATATTCTACAAATTTATTTTGAAAAATCTTAAGACATTTCTCATCCCTTAACGTAAGAGTCACGTTTCGTATTCATGAAGAACCGTAGAATAATGGATTTGTAAATTCTAATTAGAGCTAAGTAGTTTCGCAAGTGAAAAATAGTCATTTCCCGCCTTTAATCTAGAATAAACTTCCTCTTAAATTTCGGTTTTTCTTGATATGATAGACCCTAAATATCTAAATTCTTCAAGTGTTCAAATGTATTCCCTCAATATCTGTAACACTGAAATTGCCGCCATTTTTTGCAGCCAACTATATATTTTGTCCCATTGCTTCATACCGAATCATATATCCATAATATCGATATGATTGACTTCCTAAAGTCTTTTATTTATTTTTATTTAGTTAAATAAAATAAATAATTATTATTACCTTCAATTTATTTGCTAAATAAGAAGTCAAACATTGTTATATAACTTATATTGAGAGTATAGGTTAATGATAAGAGATAAGTTCTTGCCTGTAACCTAAGTTCATTCAAAGATAACGAGTTATCTGGCTGATGCTGTCATTAGTTCAAGAATGATTACAGCGAAGGGCGTTGCTGCGGGGAGATACAGCCTCAACCCTCCCCCCAATAATTGGAAATCCAAAAATTTTGATTTTAGAACCTATTTAAAACTGCGAAAATTGTGGAGAACTAATACCTTTTACAAACTCATGACATTTTTAATCGATTTTTCTTTATCATTATTTAAAAAAAAAAATCGGAATATTATTGATTAATAGGATACATATGTTCATATTCATAAAATGTGAATAAAGCAGAAAGGTATTAAACTGTGGTATACAAGTTAAAAATAACTTCATTCATTAATTCACCGAATTGATTCGTTAATTCGAAGAGGCAAGTTCCTTCCTCTTCGGTCACTGTTAAGTAACTTGTCACTGTCAGTTACGTTAATTCAAGTTTATTACTTTAAGCGGATTGATTAGAAATTCCTGGCTAAGTCCTTCAGCGTAGTAAGTAACTTAACTTACTTGTCACTGCTTCTAAACGTAGATAGCTCAAAATGGATTGGTCTCCGTCTTTTTAAAAATGGTCATACTCTCAGTACTTTTCTGTAACAGCTATCATGATGGCAAACGGTTACTTTTTTTATATTAAAGCATCCACTCACCAAAGAGTAAAAAATGAAACTATTATTTCTGATTAAACTTAATTTTTTTACAATCGTGATTGTCAGTCAAAAAATATAGATTAAAACTGAATAAAGGATTGATCACAAATACCTTAAAATGAATCGAAGATAGAGAATAGAGATATTAAAGGCAAACCAGTTATAAAAAAAATAAAAATAAATATGTTTTTAAATTAATAATTAAAGAATTATAAAATAGGCTCTCAATACTTTCCAGTATCCTTATTTTGCGAAATAAAATGATAAACAAATTGAGAAAAAAAATTATATATTATTTTTGAAGAATTTACTCCAATTTTGAAGAACAATAACTTTTATCAACTAATTTAGATTATTTAACAAGAACACGGTGCCTCAAAACTTTTGTTGTACATGGCAACCTAAAAATATATATATAGTGAGTTAATGAATATAAACTCAACAAAACAGAAATGTTCGGAATTAATGTGGTAAGTAATGAATTTTACCTAACCTAAGTCGATAAACGAATCTACATGCCAATCACATATTGATTTCTGTCTTTTACACAAATATCTTGAAACTAATCACAAAGTTATGAATTCGACAGTACATGTGTTTGATAGATAGGATAACGTAGTATTACAAAAAAAAAAAAAGTAAACAAATTTGTAGATACATGAGCTTTATAATTTATAATAAATGATACCACCCCATATCAAAGTAATTTGGGTAATATCAAAAAATCAGAGCCTCAGATAACAGCCTAGTATACCTGTGAGTAAATATGAATTATACTATTTTGGTTATTAATATCCTGACCAAATCATAATATTGTATAGTAAGGATATGGTCCGGGGTGGTGGTCATAAAAAGACTAAAATAGTGAATAAAATATTTTATTTCAAGTCAAAGTTACGACCCGACTTTGCAGATCTTCATCAGGGGGGGGGGGTATGCAGAATGGAGTTAAGGTTTAAACTGTTAAAATAATTGAATTACGAATAAATTGAAACGAATTTTTTGAAGTATGGAGTTTCTGAAACTGTTGTTGGTTTTCAACCGAATGAATAAGACCGCAAAGTCGGATCGAAACGTTGGATTTAAATGAAATCATTTTTTCACTATTTTAGTCTGTTTATGACCGCAAACTATGGTCATCTCCTAAATCAATAATATACCACGGTCAACCATCAAGTATTCAATAAAATTGTTAAGATATAATTATCTGAAATTTTATTTCTCAACAAATATATTTTTTTGGCGCCCAGACACGGATCATCTTTCGCTTAGCATGTTGGGTCGGTGCTGTAGTTAGTGAAGCGCTTGATATTCCGGGATATACGAAACGATAAAATAAATCAATAAAATTTATAGGCCAGAAATTAATGAATGTCACGTTAATTAAGCAGAAAACACCCTAACGTCAATGTTGATGACTTTCCATGTCTAAAAATCAAGTTAGCTCCTTCTTCCTTTATGTACCGTGCCAAACTACACAGACTTATCTTCATCCCCCTAATGGTAACATAAAATAGCACACCAATTATCGGATGAGCGGAACCTACGACCTCATCCGGCTCGGCCGAAGTAGCAGTAACAATGGAAGCACTGATTGGATAAGACTGTTTCCCTTCCATGCCGGGACACTGAGCTCCAATAGTCCGGACTAATCTTGCGACAACCCACCCTCTGCTCTCGCAGGAGGGTCCGAAATGAAGCAGAAAAACCATTGTGCCGCTACCCAAACGCCATCGGAGGATCCCATGTGCCGCAACAAAGGCTTTGCGGCTCACTGAAGCGGACTTGGTCCACAATGCTAACGTGCGTGGCTAAGTCCGTTCTAAATTGAATGCATTTGCAACTTCCTCGGTCGCCTTAATGGCTTCAAAACGCCTCCTACATTTGTGATTCTGAATTTGACTTCAATTTACCTCGAATCTCGAAATCCAATAATGCTCCAATATTTATTTACAGTACACTGTGCAAACAATAATTTATTACAACAAATATTTTCCACCTTCACATGAGGAGCTGATTCCCATAAGTGATTCAATTCGTATTAGAAATAGCGATGAACAATTACTTAGAAGGGAGAGAGCAAAATATAAAATTTCTAAACAATTTACGTAATATTGTATTTGTATACCTTAGATGTCAAAAGTGTGACCCGTCCTTAACCATAAAACATGTTTTGGAAGAATGCCCTTTTTACACCGCAAGGTTAAAAGGTCTCGGAATACCCCAGAATATATCAGCACCTCTGGGAAATCAAGAAGAAATGCGTTACCAAAGTTATCAAGTTCCTGGATAATGAAAGACTTAAGCAATATATATGACAAATTTATAAATTATGATCCTTTGCAAATTTATTATTTTATTTTTTTTTAATTTATTTTATTTATTTATTTCATTTTATTTTAAAAGTTCATTTGGTTATTAATTTCAACTCTTTTATTGATTTCATTTCTATTTTTTTAAATTTATTTATTAACTATCCTATCTTATTATCTATAAGTGTCTATTGTTATTTTTATTTATTTATTTCATTCTATCAATCCTTTTATTTAATTATTTTTATCCTTTTTTTATTCTTATTTTTTGGACCATCTATCCAAATAGTATAAAAGTAGTGTGACTTAGTTGATCGGGCGCCTGGATGTTTTGTAAGTAAGGTTATGTCTCTACATATTTTGAGGGTTATTGAGTGGTCTACTAGTGTTATGATTTATTTTTAAAAATCCAAAGTGAAGTGTAAATACTGAGTTGCTGGGTTAAAAATGCTTTATCAGAAAGAATGAATGAAGGTCCGGATGATTCAGAACGCAAAGAACTTGATGAATACATAGATGAAATCCTAGTTGTCTTTAAAATCCATTGCTGTGGACATTGAACACAAACAAAGAATCAAACACATCAAAACCTTACAATAACATCTCCGTGCGTTTACGAAGTTAGCAACACTTTACAAGACCGTAGACTGCTTTCGGCCATATTTAAACAACATTTCGTAAATAATTTTCTCTCGACTTTACACATTTAAGAGGTTTATAATAATTAGAAACGGTTGCCAAAATACTTCAATTGTCAGATTTATAAAACCTAAAGCGTTTCTTAATAAAGTATACTATCGCAAAAATATTTTTTTTCAGATTGAACTGATGGTTCACGAAATTGACGTGGAAAAAAATTAAGTTGATAAATGTTTAATATTTATTATACAACTAGCTACAAAGTTGTATGGATCGTAATATTATGAGATTTAGAAGCCAGAGGAGGGATTGAAGTTATAGAAGATTTACTTAAAAGTTGCTTCGGTGACCAGACTGTTACCACAGCAGATGTAATAACAACACGAACAACAAACAACAAGAATTGTTCCCTACCAATCTTAGGAAATTGAGGAAGAAAATTACAACCGCCACGTACACGCACGTCAGGCAAATGGCTCTCAGGGAAGTTCTGAAAGCATTTAGGCACGAATATGAAATTATCTCTTTTACGAATTCGGAGACAGAGAACGATCCAACAAGTCCGTTCAGCTTATAAATGGGACAGCTTTGAGTTGTTTTATGTTTTATTAAATAATAGAAATATTCAGACGGTTGCGGTTACATATTATCAATTTTAAATTATAACTAGAAACACCCAATACGACAATGTTTCACTAATTCAGGAATTATCAATACTGGATAGAAAAAGGATCATATCACCCCATGATAACTAAACCCATATTAAAAAAAAAAATAGGAGGTAAAACAGCCGAGGACGAATGAACATTATTTTCCAATATTATATGCATGTATATATATATATATATATATATATATATATATATATATATATATATATATTTTTTTTTTTTTTTAACTTTGTAGCCATACTTTGTATAAACGTGTCACTATGTCGATGTAAGTTATCGTAAAATCTTTCGTAGTGTCTCCGTATGTGGTCGTTAACTGTTGGCATTTGAAGTCCTTTATCAGTTTGAAAAAGTTTTCTCTTGAGGGAAATTTCAAGGTTGGGAGGGAAACAGGAAAACAATTTTATCAATCAAAGCTGAATCTATGCACAGTTCCACCTATTTTAAAAAAATATATAAATAAAACAAACATAAAACGAATTGCTGCATATAATATTACTTATTATTTTGTATATATTTGGGCAAAAGGGATTTTTAAGGTCGTTATGGGGAGAAACAAAGGGAAAACCTGACTGACTAAAAGGGAAAAAAAATATGGTGGAAAAGTTGGTATTTATGCAAAGTAATGTTTGTGAGGTACCATGGAGGTTTATTCCTGAAAGTTTTTGACTGAAAAGATTGTAGTTTTACTATGTGGGTCGTTTAAAGCGCAGTTTAAAAAAGGAGAAACTTAATGACGAGAACAGACTGCAAATTTTTTAAAAAATCTATGGTATTATTAATGACTAAGCAATACAAAAACGAAAAAAATACTATTATATTTCTAATTAATTACCTTGTAAAAGAAAACCTTCTTAGACATAAACACTGCGTACATAAACACAACAGTATGAATTTTGAAATAATAAACCTAAATTGTGTAAAAATTTGCAGCTGTTATACTTTAGTGTGTTAAGTCCATGGTACAGACCTTTTTTTTTTTTTTTTATTAAATTATTAACTTCTTGTTTTTCTTTTTCTAGGAAACTTCGGTTAATTTTTAAGGTTAGGGCAATTAAACTTCCATTTTTATCTTTAATATTTTTAATCACATCTGACGTATCGGAATCATTTTCCGAGAATCCTTTATAATTACTTGACTTTGTAATGTGGCACCAATTGTCAAAAATTACAATAACTGTCATATCGATATTTAAATATAATACTTTTTTTTGCCACACATTCATTTTCTATATATCACTGTAATCTATATTATTCTTTTTCAACGAATAACATAGTTTTAAATGTACGCTTAGTTTCCTAAAAAGTAATCAATTTTTATTAATTGTATTACTTTCGTCATTATCATTCGTAATTGTATATTGTATATAATTGTAGATAACGTGCAATCGGTAATATAATACATTAAACACGGTCCATTAAACTATCCCATTACTCCTAAACAATTAAATTTCTACGAAGGGACTGTTGCCCTAATGGAGGCCGACATGAAGCAGTGACCCCCACACACTAAGCCCCTGCATTCCCTCCTCAACCTGATCTACGAGGATCGTGTTTCGAAAATATCAAGTTCGCCACAATCTTCCCACCACCTGTCTGATTTGGAAGAAGACTATGCAGCGGTGTGTGTGGCCATTTTTTCTTCAATGGCCTTGTATAAAAGAAACTTCACTTATCAACAACTAAGAAAATGGCTTAGATATTTTAGAGGATGAACGAGAAGAATTCAATGTTAGAGATACAGAAAAAATAAGTCCGTCAAGTAGATTTTCCGAGATGAATATTCCAATATAAAATTTTCCTTCCAACTAGCGATGGGATATCGAAGGTTCAATACCGATATTATATTTGGCCTATAGCTATGAATACCATCAAAATATAGGACACGAAATATTGATAATCGATATAAACATTTTCGAAATATGAATATCAATATAAATTCATTCATTCTCTAGCACATAGGCGCATCAAATCATAAAAATATTCCATTTTCATTTTTTAATTAATTAATGAAAATATAAATTCTTCTGCAGTGCTTAGTAAAATTAATTGTGTAGTTCTTGTCCATATTCGTCCTCAGCTAGTTTGAGAAATTTCCATTCAACTAATTATGTCTTCCTTTCACCTATAGATCGAATTTACCAAAATGCTAATTTATTGTCATCCTACATAGATTTATTTGACAATTCGTGACCTTGATTTGACAAGTTCTAACTAACAAATTTGTGGAAATTGAGTTTATTGAATGATAGAGGTGCCCATCGCCACAAGGTCGATGGCGCACGAACCTTTTCCCACTCCTTCCAAGATATTTTATTGCTCTCTTCTTAAAAAGTGCAAGAGATAATAAAATTTATAAAATCGTAGATTATATATTCGGAATTCCCTTCCTATCAAAATTCGGCATTCTTCATCCCTGTCTACATTCATAACCCTCCTGTTCCAATTTCTGTCCCAAAAACAGTCAGATACCCGCTAACCTTTTATGTAAAATTACATATTATTCATAATAATGTATTTACATATAGCTCATAACTGAAATACTTATTAGCAGATTCGACTTTCTTTCTTTTTCAACAGAAACACAGAGTTTACTGCTAAGAAGATTGTAATGTATTTTTTATTTTTCCTAAAACTGTATATTTATATTTTACCATTGTACGTAGTTTTAAGTGTCTTGGCAAGGTTTCAAGAGTTTTGTATATACATTTTCTTTTTTTATTTTATTATGTATATAGTATGTATAAATAATATTTTCTTTACTGATTTATCTTTATCTCTACTTCTTATGTTTGTTTTTATTTGGCCAGATATAACATTTTAATTTTGTAATTTTTGTTATTCTGAAGGGTCTTCGTCCCAGAATATAATTATTTTCTATTCTATTCTATATAATTACAAATCCTGCAGTATGACGATTTTACTTGTATTTTGCTACTAACCTTTTATTTCGAAAATTCATAAAGTTGTCAAAATGTGGCCTCCTCAAAAATTCAGAACCCAGCCATAATGTGGCATCAAAAATTTTGATGGCGGAACTTGCGCCATGAAACCCCTTTTGGGCACCCCTGCAGAGTGAGAAGAGTCTCA